AGTTATGTTGATACAAACAAATGTATGGTTATTGTATTCTGTGCAGAAACGGTACCTCAATGGGTGTTGCATTCGAGAAGGTCACCCACGGCGCTGGCCTGGCATACTTCCCAGCAGTGTCGCTGGCTATGCAGGAACACTTGTATGCTAATTTTGGACACGTGCCATTTGTGTGAGTAGCTGTAAACCCTTTATATACAATTATTGATTCTTCGGTCGATATTCGCTGCCGTGTTTCGTGAAGTTAGGTTTAACGTTTGTCAAAGACAGATTTTAAGTATTTAAAAGTATGTTAATGCTAATAATATATAGGTGCACAGGATACTAACTGCATTCAGGGGACGAGTTATTTTAAACTGAATATATATGACTACGTTTCGCATCAAGCTTCCTCATGCGAACCGCTAAAGAATGGAATTCCTTGCCAGAGTCTGTGTTTCCCGTCAAATATGACTTGGGTGTATTCAAGTCCCGAGTAAACAGGTTGGTCATAGGTAGGCGTGCTCCATCGTCGGCCACATCATCGCTTACCATCAGGCGAGATGGTGGTTAAACGTCGACCTATTAAGTGTAAAAAAAAGTTATGAACCATACTAAAACTTTTAGGGTATTCTGAAAGTCGTTAACATAGCTCCGTCTTCCATAAAATCATATTGATTTTAATATGAATTTGCCAATTGTTTGTATATTTTTTTAATTGTTATTGTACTTTGTAAGTGCCAATTATTTTAATATCATTTTCTTATTTCTGTAACTACAGATTTCCAGTAGAAGGTTACGCAGCATTGCAAGCTCCTCCCAACAGGGAGTGCGCGCGCGCCGCAATTCTCTTCAAGTCGCTTGAAGCCCTGCTGGATGAACTGGTACGACCTTCAGATGTGAAGACTTCGCTCACTGCTAAGAGTAGTAAGGTATTTTGAGATCATGCTATTCTGTGTTTCAATTTTCAACCGACTTCAAAAAAAAAGAAGTTCTGTTTGACCTGTGTGTACATAGTATGTATGTATGTGTGTATGTGTGTATGTATGTATGTATGTATGTATGTTTGTGCGCGATTATCTCGCGATTGGCTGAACCAAGTTTAATGCAGTTTTCAGAGAAGTAAAGTGTGGGAGCGCCATGTTTCTGTACGAATGGGCCGGCTCAACCGGAGTGATACCACGGCTTTACAGAAAACCGACGTGAAGCAACGCTTGCATTGTGTTTCGTCGTGTGAGTGAGGTTACCGGAGGCCCAATTACCCTCCCCTTCCTAATCTCCCCAATTCCTGAATCCCCAACGATCCTCAAACTCTTAATTCCCCAAAAGGCCGGTAACGCACTTGTAACGCCTCTGGTGTTCCAGGTGTCGATGGGCGACGCCGATTGCTTACCATGAGGTGATCCGTCTGCTCGTTTACCGGCTTATGCCATAAAAAACGTGTTTGTTACACGTAGGAGAAGGTTTTAGTGTACTGATTAACCGACTTCAAAAACTAGGGGGTTGAAGTCGGTTTCTTCAAACGTAGGTTACAATTTTTTTATGTTATAGATAAAGTATAATTAAGTTAGTGTCCGACCGAAGCTTCGGCTTCCGCTTCGGCTTCGGTCGAAGGTTTTGGTGAATACCGATTAATCGACTTCGGCCAGAATTGCACCTTCAGTCGGACACTACACTTAATTATTACGTAGAAATAATGGAGTTGTTTATTGTTACCAGGCCAAATCAGATACATCAAAACCTGAGGAGGAGGTGGCCCTGAGGATCCACAGTTCAGGGTCTGTTTACACTCCACGGCCATCACCACACACATTAGTTGATCCACAGAATACAGAAGTTAAAAAAATGTCCAAAAAAGTAAGTTTTTATGATCGACTTTTACTCGTGGCTTTGTATAATTCAAACATAACATCACGCCTTTTAGGCAGAGGTGCACATTATGCCACTGTACAATATGTAACAACCACTTTTCACTATTTATGTTATGAGTCCCATGTAACAGGGGGTGAGCCTATTGCCATATACCGGGCACAATTCCAGACTCCTACCTACTACTGAGATTTTTTTAAAAACCCAGTTATACTTTGCCCGACTCGGGAATCGAACCCGAGACCCCTTGCCCGGCAGTCGCACTTGCGACCACTCGGCCAACGAGACAGTCTCACTCACGGAATATTCTATATTCCGTGGTCTCACTACCAATTCAATCTTTGCAATATTTAATCTACTTGGTTTTTAGTCAAATTTCCGTGGTGCTTGGCGACTGGGCTTCACCCAGTTGTACAGTCTCTTCTTTGTGCCTTTAGGCTTAATTAATTCTGCCTCCTGCAGTAATTCACCGAGAGAAGTGAAAACCATAGTTTTTTCTTCTTCTTCTCTTATAATATTTTCTGATTCACTTCGTTGCGGGAACCAAGACAGTTACTCATGTCCCTGGGACGCGGACTTCAGTGTTCCGGTGTTTTCATGGTTGTATCTACTGTAGATCCTGGCTTACAGGAGTTGCAGCGGTTTTGGGAGGTTGTGGCGGGCTTGCCCCATAAAAAAAAAAAAAGAATTTAATCTATTGACTGTTAGTCTATTGACTGCGTGATGTGTCGCCGCACCGTGAATGATTGTGAGTCCCACAGAGAATTGAAACTAGTAGGGTTTTCTCGAATAGTTCGCATTAGTGATCAGGGTCATCATGTCGTTCAGCCCCTTCTTTACTTTCTTCAGTCTCCTCATAGTCTACAGTAGAGGCTGTTTTTAATTTAACTATTTGTCAAAATATCGGTATAAGTAAGCTATGTATTTGAATTTATTTTCTTTTTCGTGTTTTTTTTTTTCTTTTTCTTTTTAAAAACGTTGCCCTACAATAGGATTTTCTCCTGTGTCGTGGGTGCGTTTACAAACATATAAGTAGTTCACATACACATGACACCCAGACCCGGAACAACAATCTGTGGACCACACAATGAGTTACTCCGTGCGAGAAGCGAACACGCGATACGTTATGCGGCAGCCAGTTGCCCAGGCACCGCGCCAACCGTGCAGTGAATTAATTTACTTATTTTATGTTCACAGGCCTTCCTAATGTCACTATCAAGATTAGTAGTAGTGGAACTAGGTACCACTCTCCGTATGTCATACGTGGTGGTATCAGAACTGCTGCCTCGGTTCCGTGGTCTCATTGGTTTGAAGACCAGGAGCATCCACGTGGACCAACACGCCGCTGATTTCTATATGAAGTGCCGGGACGAGAATTTTGTAAGGATAACTTATTTCAAAAGAAGAGCTCTTAAATCTTTTTATCACTGACGCCTAAACGACATTTTAAGTCGCGCTTAAATACTTAAGTATAGGTAGTTCTATCACTATAAATTCTTTGTAAAATGACAGAGATGGCACGATATTTCTGAAAGACTACTCAATTTTAAGTAGGTACTTCCTACTTACAATTCAGTAGCCTTTCAGTATTGGGGCGTAATTTTGTCTAGCTGTGAACAGGGTTGTAGGTTTTTTTAAGCGGGGAAAATCATCGAATCTTACTGACTGACTCTTACTGACTAAAAACCACACCGTTTCTACTCCTGTTCTTCGAGCCGGAGCCCCGGCAACCCGTTAAGTCCTCCGCGGCTCCGTATCGGCATCAGCCTTATTTGGTCCCATCCGTGGTGGTCTATGGCTCCTTGAGACGCGCGCGGGACGCGACGCGCCGTACGCTCGGGTCCACCGTCCGCAGACCCGCCCTCTCGGTGACAGGGTTGTAGGTTACGTTATAATTATTATACTTTGTTCTGTCACACTTGTTTTAAATTTACATTATGTAACTGTTTACTGTTCCAACAATTAAAAATAACAAGATAGCAGGAACAACTTAACAATGGGGATAACACATTATTAACATCATCACCTTCCACGGGGAATAACTAATATTGGATTGTAACTCAACAGTATATATTTTTAAATGTCTCCAAAATATCATCTTCTCCTCAAAAACTGAACCGCTAAATCCTCGCTAAGTATTCAGTAATCCTCCCTAAGCACTCAGCAAACATGGATTAATTGATTCAAAAACATCATCACCTATTATCATACTCTGCAAAGGTCTGCAAAACATTTCTAAATTTGTCGATGACCTTTCGTTCCCAACGACCTTTAGTCGGGTTTAAAATATTCCTCGATTTGGGCCACCTCCGGAGAGTGGCACTTTTGAATTAAATTAACTGATCCACTACCTACAAATTGTTCGTAGAAATACTTGGGCGACATGTTTAATTTAATTTGTTAATGTCTATAATATCACGCCTTTTATCACCCACCTAAAAGGCATATCGATAGGATGTGCTCATAATAATTGTAACCCAAAATAGTCCTACGTAAATAATTATCCCACCCATGACGCATGGATATTATGGCAAACTCTCTTATGTAAAATAGATCCATAGAAAGAAAAAGAGAGGAAGAATAATAATTTAATAGCGAATGTCATTCGGCATGCATGATGCACCAAATACACAGATAAATATAAAACAAACAAATAAAGCAATAAGAAAAAATATATAAAAAAAGATTTTCAAGATAAAGTTTTTATCACATTCTTATTTTGATGTCCCTATGATCCCTTCTTCTGGCACTCAGCGCAGCCCTTGGACACTCGTAACACGAGTACAAATGTAGCCTTAGCCCAAATAGCCTTTTTAAAGTCCTATTTAAAACCCCATTCTTCTATTTCCAGACGGGTCTTGCAGCGAAACTCCTGTCTCAGCCCGACCCTCGTCTGTGTACTATGCTGGACCTACTGTGGACCTTTCTGGATGAATCTGCATTGTGTGATGTTCTCGAACATTGCGTGGTCAGAGAGTGCCTGCTATTTGATTTAGTTTCTCAGGTGGGATATCTGTCAAACAGTTGTTTAAGAAAGATTTCAAAAATGTTTTGATGATGACGTAGCAGTAGTAGGTAACGAGTATAGTCTTGAGAAATACCTTTTTTTATAGCATAAGCCGGTAAACAAGCAGACGGATCACCTGATGGTAAGCAATCGGCGCCGCCCATGGACACTCGAAATACGTGTGTTTCAAGTGCGTTACAAGTGCGTTACTGGCCTTTTGGAAATTGGGAATTTGAGGATTGTGGAGGATTCGGAGATTCGGGAGACTGGGACTAGGGTAATTGGGCCTCCGGTAACTTCACTCACACGACGAAACACAACGCAAGCGTTGTTTCACGTCGATTTTCTGTGAGGACGTGGTGTCACTCCGGTCGAGCCCATCGTGCCGAAGCATGGCTCCCACACTTAAAAACTACTAAGTATAAAAAAAGAGTTCGGTCCTAAGGACGGACAAAGGGTTATTGAGTTAATGAGAACGCCAAGTTTGGGCAATGAACTTTCAATGCTAAAAACTGGGTAAAAGACCACTTAGACGTTGTGAGATCTAAAAAATGATGCAGCAGGGATTCATATTTGCAAAACTAAATCTTATCAAAAACGTTGGCTTATCATAGATATCTTGTTAAAATATTTTATTTTGATGGCCAGGATATGTATTTCAACCAACAAATGGAAGGCGTCTTCGTACTGTGCGGTCTGATGCAGCACCGGGAGACCAGGCACCACCTCGTCAAATATGTCTTCTTCAATAAGATCACGTAAGAATTAATTCAACTGATATGCTCTGACTAAAGTAATTATCAATGAAAGTGATTATGTTCTAGCAAGGAGTTCAAAATTATTATGCGTACAATTGCACGATTGGCGCGGTGGTTGGGCAACTGGCTTCCGCGCAACGTGTCGCGGGTTCGATTCCCGCACGGAACAACTCTTTGTGTGATCCACTGATTGTTGTTCCGAGTCTGTGTGTCATGTGTATGTGAACTTGTATGTTTGTAAACGCACCCACGACACAGGAGAAAATCCTAATGTGGGGCGATAACGTTTAAAAAAAAAGAAATAAATATGTTTTTCTATATTTAGTACATCTTGTTAGTTTTTCTTATGTTTACTACTACTTCCTAAATATTTTTCTCAATTGAGCATAGATTTACGTAGAACTAATTATGATACTACTGATAAGTGGAGATAGCGTCGGATTATTTAAATCCTATCTCAAACAAATAACATTAGAATGACAAACGTTAAATGTCTAAGTTATAATACTACGTTCCAGATTCGACAACTTCTTAAACGTGAAGTGTCCAGACGACACAGTGCTTCGGACAGTCATCAGGAAGCCGTGGTGGCAACGACCGACCTCTGTCCACGGAGAAACTGATCCCAGAATAGCTGGTAAGTATTGGAAGCTTTCAGTGTCATCATCACCATCATCGTCAGCATCTTCAGTATTTTTTTTATTCTCTAGGTATTTGGTATACACCACTCTAATAGCGCCTTGCTGCTCTTAATCTGGTACATCGTCACTTTATCTAACTGAAGAACCTACTAAGAAAACCTATTTCGTTCTCAAAATGACGTCTACTCCAGATAACTTCCCATGAATGTACAAAATTTAGTTACTTAATTTCTTTGTTCTTCGTCAAGTGATCGTTTATGCTAACTCTGAGAATGATAAAGAAATCAAAATGTCAATCTTTCAGTAACATAACATAACATCACGCCTTTTATCCCCGAAGGGGTAGGCAGAGGTGCACATTATGCCACTGTACAATGTAACACCCACTTTTCACTATTTATGATATGGGTCCCATGTAATAGGGGGTGAGTCTATTGCCATATACCGGGCACAATTCCAGACTCCGTGCTACTACTGAGAATTCATAAAAACTCAGTAGTACTTTGCCCGACCCGGGAATCGAACCCGAGACCCCTTGCCCGACAGTCGTACTTGCGACCACTCGGCCAACGAGGCAGTCTTTCAGTAATCGAATATAATATTAATTTAGTGTATAATTATTGTTATTAAAAAATATATAAGTATTGCTTTGAATCTTACTCGTATTTTGTATGTTTGTTTGTTTGTTTGTTTATTACTTCTTCACGTCAAAACGGCTGAAGGGATCGAGATGAAATTTGGAATAGGGGTAGATTATGATCTGGAATAACACATAGGCTAAAGAAACACGGACAAACCGTCGGCAGAAGCAAGTAATTACATAATATATAGGTCTTGTGAGTTCAATCACTTCGACCTTTGGTCCCAATCTAATGCGACCTTTAGACAGAAATCGTTACAATTTACAATAACGATATTACCAACTATTTGGATCAAATGTTGGCTCCAATTCGGAATTTAAGCCCAATTTAGGCACAGACAAAGAAATACCTTTGCGCTAAAAGTAAGCGACAAAGGATTGATTCGAAGGTATGTTTAATCTTTATATATATACGTATAATTCTTCTGTGAGTGTTTATGTCACTGAACTTCTCCCAAACGGCTGGACCGATTTTGATGAAATTTTTTGTGTGTGTTCAAGGGGATCTGGGAATGGTTAGATTCACAAATCAGCACGGCAGATGGCGCTGCAGTCGATGTTTAGGTTATTTATCCTAAACAGCTGAACTAATTTGAATGAATTTTTGTTTATACATTCAAGTGGATATGCAGGACGTCTGTTGGGTCCGCTAGTACTAAATAAGAATTATACTTTTCACAGAAATGACCGAGAAAGGGACCATCAAGAGTTCGACATTTTCTCCAAGTAGCACAGGTAAAGTACCTAACAATCTAATTATATATATTGACAACACGGTTAGTGCAGCGGCTGGGCAACCGGCTACCACGGAGCAACTCTTTGTGTGATCCACAAATTGTTGTTTCGGGTCTGGGTGTCGTATGTATCTGAACTTGTATGTTTGTAAACGCACCCACGACACAGGAGACAAACCTACGGTGGGGCAAAGCTTAAAAAAATATACAAATGAGTCCCTTTTTCCCTTGGTCACGGCATCACGCATGAATGGGTGGACCGATTTCACTAATTCTTTTTTTGTTGTGTTTGTTATTATTAGGAGTAGGTTCTTAAGACAGAAATAATCCTGAAAATCCTACGGGAACGGGATAATAAGGGATTGCGCGTACGAAGTCGCGGGCAGAAGCTAGTTAATAATAATTTTGTTAACACGCCGCTACTACTCATGAGAAGTTTAAACTATTTTATTTATTTACTTTAAAATGTCTGTTGTGTGAATGTTTTTTCTATAAAACACAGTGTTACATAATATGTGACCTTGTGACTATTATTATCAATCACTACATAGTATAAAACAAAGTCGCTATCCGCCGTCTGTCTGTCCCTATGTATGCTTAGATCTTTAAAACTACGTAACGGATTTTGATGCGGTTTTTTTTTAATAGATAGAGTGTTTTTTAAGGAACGTTTATATGTATAATACATGCATAAATAATATATTAGAGAAACACTAATCAATTCAGAGGTTTCTAATTGCACCCGTGCGAAGCCGGAGCGGGTCCCTAGTAAGAGCTAAACACAAACACGGATATGGAAATACAAAGATAGCATACGCACATACATAATGCCTGTTTCCCATGGCAGAGACTATAGAACGCCAATTGCTACGATTCTTACATATATTTTTCGCTTCCTCATTTAGGGAACAGAGAGTATAGTTCCCTAATATCGGAAAAGGAGGATCCTCCGACCAGGCGAGGTGATCGTGCCTGGCGGGCTTACTGCCCAACAGTTGCTCGTTGGGATTTTCTATCCGTGTTAAATCGAATGTAAACTTCGCATGTGCGATGTAGGATTTTATGACGTCATCCGTTGACTTGTGACATGTGTCGCCACACTCAACAAAGACAGGAAGGTTTATATGTATAATACATGCATATTTCACCCGTGCGAAGCCGGGGCACAGGGTATAGTAGTATTTGATGAGCCGACATTTGACCACTATCTCGCCTGGTGGTAAGCAATGATGCGGTTAGACTTATGACCTATGAATACACTTTCAATGAATAAATGGTGTTGTCATATGAAATGTTTTCAGACAAGATTTCAAAGTTGATGTCAGCAGCCCAGGACGACGCCGCGCTGGAGGCCCAGTATCGAGAGGACTGCAACAAGATCACCAAGGCCATCGCACCGTTAGAACAAATACAGGTACATAAAAAATATACTATAGCAATACTGCTATAGAAAATCTCAGCAGTAGCACGGAGGCTGGAATTGTGCCTGGTATATGGCAATAAGCTCACCCCCTATGAAAAGTGGGTGTTACATTATATAGTGGCATAATGTGCACCACTGCCTACTCCTTCGGGGATAAAAGGCGTGATGTTATGTTATGTTATACTATAGCTTCTGCTAGTGGCTTCGCCCGGGTTTCCGTGGGATAAAAAGTGGCCTATGTTTTATTCCAGATCACTATCTACCTCCGTCCGAAATATCAATTCAATCCATACAGTCATTTTGACGTGAAACAATAATAAACACACACGTACCTAAATCCTCACAAATTTTCGCATTTGTAATATTAGTAGATAATAGATTGTGTACTTCTACCTATCGGGGATTAGAGACATTTTATGCTCTTTTTCATATCTGTATCTTAATCACAGCGACGAGCTAAACTAACTTTATTTTATCTGTCTACATTATAATAATAATAAGCCTTTATTGCTGAAAACTATACAATCAGTAACATTAATCTAACTTATGAACTACACACCATTATGTAATTTATGTATCATATTGTATATATTGTATATTATATACTAGTTATTTAGTTTTTTTGAGTTGTATTTGTATTTTTGTATAATATGTATAGTATTTTATAATAATAATAATAATAAAGACGTTACAAAAAGAGAGTGGAGCGCTATACTCAGAATCGCATGTTCCAAAGAGATCAGAGGTGGGTATACAGAGATTGGGAACGATCCAACCAAGATGTGGCTGACGGGCGGCGACCGGATGATGATGCCACTAACACATTTTGGCGCAACATCTGGTCGGTGCCTGTTAGCCACACAGAAGGTGACTGGATGTTTGATGTTAAGCGAAGGTGTGAGACTATACCAGAGATGGAGGAGGTAGAAATCACCTCCTCTGATGTAGCCAGTGCAGCCTGTTCGGTTCCGAATTGGAAATCACCGGGGCCGGACGGACTGCACAATTTCTGGATTAAATGGTTCAAGAGTTCACACGTTCGCTTAGCATTACACTTCCAGGCAGCTTTGGAAACTGGGTCGTTACCACAATTTCTAACAACAGGAGTTACCCACCTGCTCCATAAATCAGGTAGTTCCACTGAGCCAAAAAATTATAGACCAATTACATGTTTACCAACGGTCTATAAACTTCTTACATCCATTTTCTGTACTTCTACCTATCGGGGATTAGAGACATTTTATGCTCTTTTTCATATCTGTATCTTAATCACAGCGACGAGCTAAACTAACTTTATTTTATCTGTCTACATTATAATAATAATAAGCCTTTATTGCTGAAAACTATACAATCAGTAACATTAATCTAACTTATGAACTACACACCATTATGTAATTTATGTATCATATTGTATATATTGTATATTATATACTAGTTATTTAGTTTTTTTGAGTTGTATTTGTATTTTTGTATAATATGTATAGTATTTTATAATAATAATAATAATAAATCTTTATTCATAATATTATTATATTTTGTATTTATTATATTTAAGTATTTTGTATAGTTATTAATTATTGTACACTCGACGACCCATATCAGACTCGCCAAATCGCCTTGTGCGATAAGACTGCCCATTGTACACTATTTATCCTATAATGCGATTGTGTAGTGTACAATAAAGCATAATTATATTATTATTATTACACATCGGTTATCCTAATCAGTAGTCTGTGTGTCCTGTGACATGTAGGCCTCTTCCAGTTTTTTCCACTCGTCTCTGTCTCTAGCTTTTCTTGTCCACGTAGCCTCTCCGACTTTTCTCATATCGTCCATCCATCTATTTGCCTGCCTCTTCTTCTTTTACCATCCCGTGGATACCACTCTGTTACGATTTTGGTCCATTTTGTTCTCTCCATCTCATCTCTTAACATATATGTCCTGTCCATCTCCATTTTAGCTGTCTTACTTTCTTTATTATATCTTCTACCTTGGTTATGGTTCGTATATGTATATGCTGATCTTATGTGATCTCTTTTTGTAACGTCTACCATACTTCTTTACTTACTACTCCATACGCCTCTGACATGATCTGTCTATGTACTGCGTGCCAAACCAATAATCATGAAAGCCTAAAACCGAAAGTTCATGGTTCAATACCTAGGTCACGAATATATCCGATTTTGGCAACATTCCCTCAAACTGCAGTTGTTATGCAAAGTAACTGGCTAAAGTACATATTTGCTGATTTTATTTCGCTTCGTGGTAGATTCTGTCGACGTTTTCAAACTAATTTGGCAAAGGAAATGTGACTGTGTATTGAGGTATTTAAAGTTATTTATTGAATGTGAATTTCAAGGTTAGGAAACTGACCTTTCTTTTTATTTGGGTACAGCTCCAAGCATATTATGTATGTGCAAGGAATATATCAATGTCTTAATGCAACCACAACATCAGGCCATTATAATACACTGCTAAACAGGAAGTGAACTGAGACCTGTATTTTCCGATAATTCTGAGCACTTGCCAACTCAACCAACGAGGCAGTCATATTCATATCATATGATTCATCAAAAGGCTGATACCGCACCTGTAACGCCTCTGGTGTTCCAGGTGTCCATGGGCGACGCCGATTGCTTACCATCAAGTGATCCGTCTGCTCGTTTACCGGTCTGTCCCATAAGTCAAGTAACTGTAATATGACTCTGAGTCTATTTTCTTTTTCGATCTCTTTGACTGGATTTTGGTGGTACATTGTTCTCAAACTATCAAACCAACAAAGCTATGTAACTAGAGAATTGTATTGTAAACCTTCTTCTCCATAGGAATCTACACCTTAAAATGAGCAAATAACTTCATTTTTTTTTTGTTGACATTTAAAAATGCCTTCCTGGTTTAATTTAAATAAATGTTTTTGACTTTGACTTTGACTTTGACTTTGAGTACAGCAGTTAGTGCAACTTCTTTATATTAAGCAATAACTTCATCTTTCCCAACAGCTAGAGTTTCTACTGCTACTCCTGGACAACACTGATGGTACAAATATGGTGCCGTCAACCAGGAAGATATTCCTGGAGAAGTTCCGAAGGTACATCATGGACAACTGCATTCTGGATATGGTAACTATCACAGATGTACTTACTTCTTTGTATGCATTTATACATTGTTATTGTTAATGTTAGTGAGTAAAGTTCATCATCACAATCATCGGCCTGCAACTTATCCACTACTAGACTAAAACTATCTTCTCATGCAGAGAAGATAAGAGCATTAAATCATCACACATCCTTTAAGGCTGATTGGTGAAAAATCTCCAATTTCCTCGAAGGAAAATTCGTTCAATATCTATACAGATAAATAAAATTGGAGTGACTGTTTGTAATGTTGAAATAACTATATGGTAATTATAATAATATGGTAAGTATATGGTAATTGCGCCTCCGGTAACCTACCGTAAGCGTTTCGTGTTGTTGGTTTTTTGTGAGGCCGTGGTGTCTCCGGTCGAACCGGCTCATTCGTGCCGAAGCATATGTATACTCAATACCTTCATTGACATTTCATCATTAAATTACACCTTTACAAAACCTATTGACATGTATCATATCTGTGCCTTTAGCCAAACGCCACTTTAGCGCTTGTCTACAGAGAGAGTAGAAAACTAAATGTATGGGGATGGCACTGACAAGTGTCAAAATTTACGTCAATTCCATATAATTTGGTTTTCTACTCTACAAGTAGACAAGTGCTAAATGGCATTTGGCTACAGCTGCTGTTTTTATAATAATTATCCTAAGACATACTAAATTAACTAAAAAAGCGTGAGTAGGCTGCGCGACCTCGCCACGACCGCGCACGCTGCTCATGAGGAAGAGCCCTTCGCGGCTCGAAACTAGTAGAGCTTTTCTCAGTATTTTCACGTAAGTAACCCGCAATTTTTAGTTAAGTATCATACCTGTTTAAACTTGCATCATGTAGTTAAAAAACGAATTTCATGATAAAAAGTTTCAGGAGGCCATATTTCAGAGGCTGTTCAACATATCGCGGAACTCGCCGGCGATATCGTGGTGCTGTCACTCTCGACTGCTGACTGCGGTACTGAGGCTGTGGAACGAGAACCCTATTGGTAATGCAGGGTTAGTATAAGGTGTTAATATAAGATATTATTTTTTTTGTAAGTTTTGTAATTTTTAATGTGTGAAGCGTGAAATTAAATTAAATAAAAAACATATTTATAATATTAAACTGTCAAACACCAAGCGGTCACCGGTGACCGCAACCTATTGTTCTATAATTGTGTCTATAATGACGGTACTCGACGAGTTAATATTATATTTATAAATTTATTTTATTTATTTATTTTATTTATTTATTTATTTATTTAAAACCTTACCTAAAACTATCATTACAGTTTTCTCTATTGCGATAGCTTAGGTCTAAAACTAAATCTATGTAGGTACCTAATTACTAATACATATGCATACACAAACTTAATTAATCTTAACATTTATCCATAAAAAAAAGAGATAATACTAAAGACTTTATGGTCACGAGATCAGCGGTGAACTACTTACTAAATAACAATAATAAAAAAATGAAATGAAATAATAATCTTAATTAACATTTAAATAACATAATATATACAACGTAACTTTTACGAATTCACTCACATTGCAACACAATACATCCACCCTTTCATGGACTTCGTTCACTACTCTCATAGCTCTAGTGAGAGGAGCCCTAGCTAGTAAGTTGGTTCTGGCTGCCGGCACAGCGAGGAGAGGCGGGCGTCTCCTCTTCCACACATAACGATCCGGCACACATAGCTGCAGGTGTCGCAGCACTCCCGGATTATGCGCTACGCCGCGCAGCAGCTTCACCACATACGCTACCAAATAAAGGTTTATATCACCTGGTACTTTCATCTCTGCACTACTTAAAGGTTGACTGGGAGACAGTGCCCAAGGCATTAAGTCCACCTGTACACAATTGTTGTATGAAGTTGAAATAAATAAACAAATTATATACAACATCTCGAAAATATCTCTGAATCTATTATTTTATTCATTCATGTGTTAAAATACATTTCATTTTGTGCATGCATCTTAACGAAAGGTCTAAACTGAACGCTCTCGAAAAACGGCAACAGGTGATGGTAAAAACAAGTTTTACTTTCATAAAAGTAAGGAATTAAATGTTTATTTTATGTAATAATAGTTGTAATCAACTGCTCAAGGCTGGTGTTACATGAATAACGTGTTACGTATCGGTGCCGACACATGTATGTACCTACACCGTGATCAACGCCGAGCCACGAGGACCATATCTGCTGAATCAGGACATTAGACCTACTTTGATGCAACGAAGTATGGCAACACCCAAACTGCTGAGTCAACTCCTCATGTCACCGCCTCGTGCCCAGCTGCGAATCGCTGCATCAGCAATCACCCCACTAAATTTAACCTCAATAGGTTTTATTGAAAACCTTCTTTCGAAATAATTTTAAGAAAAGAAATCAGTGTCGTTCTAATATCGAACGCATTCGATCGTAGGTTAGTTAGATTTTAGGAATTATCATGTAATTTTAATTATAATAAATTTAGTAAAATGATCATAGTTTCCATTTGCACCCTCTGTCGGTGGCAGAAACATAACTAACGTGAAAACAGAAACTATTAAACAATAACAAACACAACAATTTATTTTTGTCAGCGTTTTGGGAGAATTCCGTGTATATAGAGGTAGAAAAGAAAGAAATAAAAAACATTTATTCAGCACCAGGCACGATGCAGCATAAGTAAAATATAAAAAATACAATAAAGGTGTGAATTAAGAAAAACATTAAATTAAAAAAATAAAACAGAGGAATCAGAAAACAGACGCTGACAACATTCCTATGCTAAATGGGTTACCCACTCAGTGTAAGCCGCCATACGAGATATACAGTATGTAGGAAACGTAGACAATGCATATATTTTAATAAACACACACCCTCGTATAAATCTAGTCACGTCTGATAAGGGTATAAAGGTCCCTTATCTTTAAATAGAAATTCACACGTCTCCGCCCGGCCAGCGTCGCGCCAACAATAATGTCACGTGAAACTATTTCCATTATAAAATGTAATACTAAACGTTTCTATGGTACATTTTATTGTGTAACAGATAGAATGACTGCTTATGTACACAGATGTCATATAGATAGTTTTCAACAGATTTATATTTATTAGGGAGTAGTAGAGAGCCTGTGAGATCACATATCGTCTCTCTATATAGGCTATATCTATCGATATAGGCAGTATCGTCTTTACCACTCGGGGCCCGTACCCAGAGCCCCCATTCTCAGGAGGCTCTGAAGTACCGACAATTTCTAAGATGGACATACACCGGCCACACGTTATGCGGCAGCCGGCTGCCCCGCAAGGTATAGTATTCCAAGGTCCAATTCCCGCACGGAACAAATCTTTGTGTGAACCACAAATTTTTGTGCCGGCTCTGGATATTATGTGTATGTGAACTTGTATGTTTGTAAACGCACCCACGATACGGAAGAAAATCCTAGTGTAGTGTACTTGTTACAATGTTAAAAAAAACGAAAGATTCCACAAGGGCTCCGAATTATTGTGAGCGTAGTCTAAGACGGCCTAAAAAATCTAAAAAAAAACGTGTCAGCAAACTCAGCAAATTGCAAGAATTATATGAATACGTATTTTCTTATTAAGGTTTATGTAGCTGATTTGAGTAAATATTTAGAGTACCTACCTACGGTTATTTTTAACTGAATTCCTATACCTATCCTATACCAATGATGTATGATATCCTATTGCAGTCTTTCGTGCTTAAGAACAACTATCAAATTAATCCTTACTTAGGATACGTTATACGACATATTAACATTTTTACATTTCCAGGCAGGCGACTCCTCACCTACCTGCCAGAACATTTATAGACGGAGAGCTGGACTTCTACAATGTTGACCGTCTTGGAGGAGTCCTGCCGTTCTTAGTTAGGACATTAAGGTATTAAATGTATTCCCCATTAGACATGATGTACCATATCCACAAACAGAAACAGTGGTGAAACGGAGAAACACTAAAAACAACAACAAAAAAGATATAAATATAATAATAAAATAAACAACATGGTAGCAACATGCTCACGCCAAAAGGACTTCTTTCTCATTTCTCCCCCTCTATCCCTGACCAGGCCGACCCACCTAAGAAGTTAAGTAATCATCAGCTACATATTTGGCTATAAACAAATATTATTTATTTCGACTGAGAGAGCTAGCAAGAAATTTGCGAATGTGCCATTACTTATTGTGTTATTCTTTGGGCGTCAAAGGATAGTTAATAGAATCTTATGACTTCAAGTTTTGCTAATTCTAGATTTTTTATCAAAATATATTGTTTTCAGGCAAGATCTCGTCGGTGTCTTGGGCGAGGACAATCCCTTCATACAAAGTTTCGAACCCAACTACAATCGAGCTGGTGGCATTGATACTGGTATTTATACGTGCTTTCTTCTAAGATTGCTTATGAACATTCATGAGCACTACATTGTACTACTAATTTATGCATAATTCTTATCATTCAACGTAATTCTAAATTATGCAAATTGCAGACGGGCAAACGAGCGGACTGAACACCTGATGGTAACCAATCTGCCAGCCTATGGACATCCGCTACACCAGCGAGGAGTTCAAATGCGTTGCTCGCCATTTTGGGACGAAAACCTGACCCACACAGAAAAACACAACGCAAGCGTTGCTTAAGATAGCCCCGGAGGACTTAACGGGTTGCCGGGGCTCCGGCTCGAAGTGCAGGAGTAGGAACGGGGTGATTTTCAGTCAATAAGAGTCTGACACTCCCTCTCGCCGCACCCGAGCGGGAGAAGTCATTGGATGATTTTCCCCCTCAAAAAAAAGCGTTGCTTAAAACCGGTTTTCATTGAGGTCATAGTATCATTCCTATAGAGTTGATCTATTTGTAATGAGTATGGGTCTCCCACGTGAAGAGAGTATTCGTTATTATTTATTTACGTTTATTTATAATGTGACTAGGCGTGCAGAACTTGGCTCGCTTGGCTGGCGAGGTGAGTGCGCGACAGTTGCGGTCAGTCCACCCGAATTCACCGCGCGGTTGGTTTCCCAGACATCGACGTATTCAGGAATTCCCACCTAGAATAAGGAAGCCTCATCTCTGTTTTTTATTATTTAGAAAGGAGAACATTAGACACAGAACAAAGAAGAAAAGAAATGATGATAAGAAAGTCTTTGTATAATAGCTATCGTGAGACATACTAAATTAATTAAAAATGCCGGTTTACTCACGTAAAATATTAAAAAATCTCTACTACTTTCAAATCACAGTGGGACTCTTCCTCATAAGCTGCGTGAATGGATAGTAGGCTGCACGGCGTCGCCGCTTCATGAGTAAACTAGTATTTTTAATTAATTTAGAATTCCATTGAAATTAAGAACAATGTTTAATGAAAAATCTATCGGAACTCCATCGATACACAAAAAAAAGTTGTTACCTGACCAAATACTTATCTGTGTCATTTTATAAAGCAGGGACCGAAAATATTTACACCTTATTCAGTAGCTTGCCTCTTAAAATTCTCAGGTGTCAGTGATATGGCTGCCGGATCTCCAGGGTTGGCGACTCTCCCTCAAGTCATATCTTCAATGGCCAGGTTCATGCATCCGCCTATGCCACCAGTACCAAATAGGTAACAGGAGACATTTTTTTTAATTTTATAACGATATTAATTAGAAAAGTTCCATATGTGGTATTTGATCGTCGTACATATGTGGATCGTAATATAATTATAGTACCTACAAAAAAAAACATAATAAAAAAATAATACAAAATTATAAATATGCTACACCAGACTTGCTAAACTTGCTACGGCGTAGCCACGCTACGGATGCTACGCCGTAGTAGGGACTCAAAGAAAAATCTATTTCGTATCATTCAAAACGATCTAATAAGCTCATGACAGACAAGAAGCCCTACAGAGCTGTCTTATTGTGTATTTTTCACCTACGTATATTATGTAATATATATATATTTGAATATTATTTTTAGAACTACAGGAGAAACGGCGTTAGCTATCAAAGGCACTCGGTCTATGATGCCTGGTGCTGGGTCCATAGACATCAGGTCAGCATATCTTCGGTTGGTAGACGGACTTCTTGCTCTATACCATGGTGCCGCTATCAAACATGCTGAGAAGGTAAGGCGGGACATCTTCCTACAGTTATTATATTGTAATTTATGAATCTGAAAAATATATACCTAACATGGTTTCGGTTTTTTTTATTACGTACTTAGTCTGATTTTTTTCTTAGCATATAATATTGTTATTTGAATTAATTGATTGATTATGAAATAACATCCGGCAAGCCCAGAAATCAATATTGGCCTATTTTGGCCCGCCAATCGTCTTTTGATTCCTAGGTTAAACAAAATGTTTGTAAGTCTATTATCATCTTTCTCAGTCACTTAACAATGTCATGTATTAAGTTTTCAGTGATATATTATGCACGTTTAATTAGATATCTAATCATCTATTATGTGGTATCAGTATATGGAAATGTGCCCGGTATATGGCAATAGGCTCACCCCCTATTACATGGGATTCATAACATAAATAGTGAAAAGTGGGTGTTACATTGTACAGTGGTATTAAGTGCCGTAATATGCACCTCTGCCTACCCCTTCGGGGATAAAAGGCGTGATGTCATGTTATGTTATGTTCATCTATTATTATATTTCAGTTATGTGAGCTGAGAGACAACCAATTAGACATGGCTGACTGTCTCCATGATATCGAACATCGAATATACACCGTCACTACAGAATTGAAGGCTGCAGGTGAGACACTACATTATGATAACTGGCAGAGAATGATGTTAGCATTAAGTCTTCCTTCCACAATTGTGTAAAACTCAAAATAAATAAAATTATGTCGTTCTGTTTTTTGAACTTTGGATAATTTGTATTTAGCAAATGGCCACACGTATAGTTTACTTTAAAAGCTGTTCTTCTTTTGGGTTTTAAGTTTGGGCCAATATCTTTGAGAATAAACTCCATTGTAGGATCCATTTTTTAAATACACAATATGTTTTTGTACATAAATGAGTAAGGCGCCATTGAAAGAAAGTGTCAGTTGTTGTATCTTTATTATATGAGTAGATACATTTCAATTCCTTATATGAAAATGTTCAGCATCTTTCCAACAGGTGGCGAGAACATGACTGAACAGGATAAGATGAAGAAACAGCTCATGGAAGGCATGCTGAAGGAATTAGAGAGGTCTAAGTCTGTATACGAGGTCAGTATAGTAAACACTTTAAATTCTAACCGATCGATCGTTAATTAAAACTTAAAGTCACTTTATCTATCAAACAAAACCGCATCAAAATCTGTTGCATAGTTTTAAGGATCTAAGCATACATAGTGACAGATAGACAGACAGACGAAAAGTGACTTCGTTTTATAGTATAGAGTGATTCGTGTATTCCAGGAGAAACTGGAAGCAGGTGCATTACAGATGGGCTGGGTGATAGGTGCAATATGGACTAAACAAAGACAGACAGAGTTGGCGAAACATTTCTCAGGGACACTACACTCTCTGAGACTATCTTCTGACCCCGAATATGCGATACATGCCCAAGTAAATATATTTATTTTTTAACTGGAGAAACTTTTAATATATTTTGAATAGAGCAGCTTTTATGCAACGTTTATTACATATTTAAATATCTTAACACGATATTTATTTTCTTGTTCATAAATTATTTAATTCATTTTCAAACTTGTTTTGTAAATCGATAGATAGTTTAAACAAAATTGTTCTAGTATGCGCAAGTAGCGAGTAAAGAAATACTCCCTGGCAAGAGTTCCTTATTGGGAGGCACCAGCTATGCCTCTCTACAGCTGGAGTACACATCCAGTTCAGATCAGAGGTGTGGGATTTTCTTTTTATCACAAAATATGAGTAATTCTCTTTGAATCTTCCTTTTCTTTATGAAAGTAGAATTCATCACCTTTGTGAGATCAGAATATCATCAAATGAGTGACCACCCCAAGTGTCAGCCTCTTATCGATTAAAAACAATCCCGTTCCAACTCCTACCCTATGCTGGGGCCATGTTGCGGAGAACCTAACGGGTTACCAGGGCTTCGGCTCAACGTGCAGGAGAAGGAACGGGGTGGTTTTTAGTCAGTAAGAGTCTGACACTCCCTCCCGCCACACCCAGGCGGGAGCAGCAATTAGATGATTTTCCCCACTTAAAAAAAAATGCTGGGGCCACGGCATATAACCTCGTACACGCCCAGAATAATTCTTCACGTACATTAATCAAATAACTTTCATCCATTCTCATTATATATCATAATCATAGATTTAAAATGCTTCTCTAATCATCAGCTCTCCACATCAACTTTTAAAATCCTCTTTATTTTAATTTCCGACCTAGTAAATTTTCCTTACACCCCCTTTATAATTTTCCTTTAACAGTAATTAATAAAGTTAATAGATACTCAACTTACAGTCCTCAAAGTCCAACGTCGAGGGCCACTACACCACGTACAGGATCGAACTCACAAATAGGATCATCTAATCGTAAGTGGAATTAGAAGGCCTTCTTTCTTTAGTATTGACACCCGAAATCTCTGTCATCTGCTCGAAATTCCGAATTAACTATTTTTGGAGAATGTTTTCTTGATATCCTTATAGCTTTTTCTTAACACCAGTCAGAGTTAGCTCTCTAAATTATTATAATCAGTACCATACCAGTCAAACGGTATTTTTTCGTTGTCTGATTAAAGACGTTTTTTGGCCATAGTTCTATCCAAACGCTATCTTAAACTTCTTTGAATATCTTAAGCACCTTTAAGTTACCTTCATGAGCCTGTCAGCAGCATTCGGCAAGGTGACCAGCTAAGACTACTTCAATACACCGCCTGTTATGGCTTAGATACAGGTGGTCAAGAATTTGCAGAGTCTCTATTCGCCTTCGTGCCTGAATACCACGTTGATGCCATGCTGGAGCTCTGCAACACATTGAGGCTGTACATGCATCCCACGATACCCGTCCAGCAGATACCAGGTGAGAACAGAAATAGAGAGAAGTCAGTTCTGTGATGATAAAGGGTAATGACAGTTGTGAAGATTGTTATATTTGCTAGCATTTACCTTTTACCTTTCTGCTGTTTTTACCTTTTACTTTTATGTTATGTAAGATTTATTTTAGTGCTTTATACTGTTAATTTATTTATAACTTTAAAATTAAAAAATATTGTACTGAATGTCCTGAAACACAGGTTCAACCTAGTTCAGGCAAATAAGCTACTGAGCTTTAATCAAATCGTTAAGATACTATTCATGTAAATATGTCCCGTTTTATAAAATAAACAATTTATTATTATTTTTATTATTTGATAGTTGAGTTTCTCTATTGATACACCATACAGTTATTTGTCAATTAGTAGTGGCATTAAAGACCAATTTTTCATCAATAATGGTTTTAGCCCCATACAGAAAATAGTTCCAGGGACCTGAAAAGTCAAAATTGACTATGCATCAGTTTTAATGAGATCTTCATCTTTATTTCTAACGACTAATAGACCTTTCTTCTCTCAGAATGGGAGGAGCTCGTGGTGTCTTGTGCTGCGTTCCTATGTGCAGAGTTTGCAGACCAACGCATAGTTCTGGCCAGTACCAGAGAGTCTCTAGTACAGACGCTAGCATCATTTGCTACTCAACCAGCAACCATGAGGGCCATCGAACGAGTGCCTATAAAACAGTAAGTGGTACTGTCTACCACAGAAACTGCAAACTTCGACATGCCTACCTTAAGCAAGCTTAAGAGTTTCGAGTCGAGGTTTACCATTATGCAGCAGTAGACTGTTGATGTTGTTGACGTACCAAAATTACCATTACCAACGCTTGCGTTGTGTTTCGTCGTGTGAGTGAGGTTACCGGAGGCCCAATTACCTTCCCCTTCCTCAATCTCCCCAATCCCTGAATCCCCAACGAACCTCAAACTCCTAATCCCCGAAAAGCCGGTGACGCACTTGTAACGCCTCTGGTGTTCCAGGTGTCCATGGGCGACGCCGATTGCTTACCATCAGGTGATCCGTCTGCTCGTTTACCGGCTTATGCCATAAAAAAAAAAAATAACTATACAATATATATTATCAACATCCTGGTACGTCCACTAACTACTGAATATAAATAAACGTTCCCCTTAGTCCGCCATGATGAACGGTAATCCACTTTCTTTACTTACAGGCAGATGTGCATGGTAGAAGAATTAGTCCGTCCATACCAGAATCGTGCGTGGGCGCAGTCTAACTGGGTGCTCGTGCGGTTCTGGCACGGTTCCGGGTTTGGATTTCGACATCGACAGTGGCCCCATTTAGCAGCCAGGTGATAATTAAGTTTATTATCTATCATGTAGTGTTGATAATTTAGTGACAGCTCCTCCACAAAACGTAGGTAATTAATTAAAGCTTTTTTAAATGAAGGAAAAATTAAAATACAATCAAACAATGCGGTATTTTAGTTTAGATGAGAAATAATTTAGAAGTATTGTTTAGAGGCAAAGTAATCGGGAAATGTTAGTTTCACTACATAAGGTACTTAAACATTGTTTTTATTGCAGTTTAAAGTATTAATGCGTTTTTATCTGACTTTGAACACTACGTAATGTCGCCGCCATGCTAATGACGTCATTACGGTAGTAAACAAAAGTGTCAGCTGTCATTGTACTAAATGTGTACTACTGTCAGCTTAAAATATTTTTAATATTTCAAAAATGCATGTACATAATAGCCTATTGACTAGGTACTTACTAATGTTAATATTGTTATTACACAGATATGGTGACAGAGAACCGACAGTCAACAACCTTGGAGCCAAAGTGGATGCAGGACTCATGAGTCAATGTTTCGGTTAGTTCAAAAGGCATACTGCATCAATAAACTTTTATTATTTCTAATTGACAATATTATCACTCGTCGACATAATAAAACATACAAAATGTACATTGTACCTACTATACTTATGTCAGTAGATCATATACACCATGAAATCTATTTCGTTTTCGTCTCGCGGCAAAACAAGAAGTACTTTCGATGTATAAAATAAAAAAATAATGACGTCATATTTTAGTTTAAAAATCATTCATGAAAATACGCACATGAAACACTCGATATAAATTTGTAGGCACTATTTGCATCGCACGTACAACCCAACGAGAAATACCTCTTATGGAATTACACGGCGGCGTGATGTTTTGATAATGTACTATGAGTTTGTATGCGCTTTCGAAGTGCGCTTTTTGCAATGGTTAACCAGTTATTTTTTATATCAAACATTTTAGATAACATAACATCACGCCTTTTATCCCCGAAGGGGCAGGCAGAGATGCACATCTGTGTGCACCAACTTTTCACTATTAATGTTATGAGTCCCATGTAATAGGGGGTGAGCTTATTAAACATTTTCTTTCTTTGTACAATCTGTTGTATTTGCAAGATAAAACCATTCTACTTCGGGACGAAAACGAAATAGATTTGACGGCGCATATTAAGGTATTAAGACTTAATTAGGCATTAAAAGTGCCTCACGACTTGACGTAGATAATACACATGTACAAAACCAGTTCATCATGATCTCACATTGTATGACCACTCCTCACACTTAACAGTCAGTTTATGCTGGATTGCGTAGTTTGATATGTAGCTGTGTGCTTCTTGTTTTGAAGGGCCCTGTCCATCAGAGGTGATTCAGGCTCGAATAAAGGAATACCTCTCTTCACATCCGACTGCAGCAGCCGCCTACCTGAATTCTTTGCTCAGTCAACTCAACTGGGCATTCTCAGAGTTCATTACTATGATGCAAGAGGTATGATTTTCAACTCATTTATACTTATTACGTTAAGAAAGCACTGCAATTTTGTATTGCAATTTGTTTGTCCATTCTTCTATAGATGGATCGAGTAAGCGTGGACGCACATCTAGAGTCACGTCAAATCAAACTCTGTGCAACATGTTTCGACCTGTACCACGGTTTGGCCAGAGCACTGGAGATGACACTACACCTCGCTCCCTTACTGCTGACCAAACCAGAAGCGTGTGAAAACCAGAATGAGTTGCTACTCGGTAGAACTTGCCAGGTAAAGGAATAAGTATTGTTAGATTTTGTTTTTATGTGGCTCTAGTTCAACTGTTAATTGTTCTTAGTTATTTAGTCTATTAGGGCTAGGCAGAGCCATATTGTCTCTAAGGAAAATTAGGCAAGTGTCTAGGTCGCTAGGTTACACAGAAGAGCCGCGAGACGCGCGTACCCAACTGCCAACTAAATGGCGACGGCGCCAAACAAAATTAGATGCTTAGGATGCTCTTTAGGTTTAATCTGCCTCTGAAGTCGAGTGAAATATTTTTCAATTATGTTTTTTATATGATTTTGTATAATCTTTTACATCTTTAAACTGTCAAACACCAAGCGGTCACCGGTGACCGCAACCTATTGTTCTATAATTGTGTCTACAAAACCGGTACTCGACGAGTTAAGAAATAAGTTAAACACACAAATTTATGCTCATCTTTTTGCTAGTCTCTTAACTATCCCGACACCTTTTGCAATCACTTGTGCCTACAGTACATCAGTATTGTAAAGGAAGCATAAATAAATGGACCTGTTATTACACCGATAGATATTTTATTATTGCAATAGTTACTCACCGCCATAGACTTATAAACACAGTGGTGACCCCTACGTGATTTTATATTATACGAAATTCGATAATTTTTTCAGACAAAAGTTTACATTAACCTTTTTTCAGATCTTAATGGCAGTGGTATCAAGAGTATGTATTCGTGGTGGTGGTGGTGCCAGTTTTGCCCGTCTAGTGGCCCGAGGGTTACCTGATACGGACCGGGTACACTATTACGTGGCACTCGCCCCCGTAGCTGGCTGTCTCATCAGGATGCTGGACTCAAAACTACCACCTGAAGTAAGTATTAAAGTAGAAAGGGTTAAATTACTTACTCTAGTGATTTCGTTGTTAATTTTGAAGCTTTATCTTTTTCTTTAGCTTTAGTTTTATCTTTCGATCGATTTGGTAATAACCCTTGGTCTACGTATGTTCACCGATTGCTCTAAAACGCCTTAAAGGAATTCAAGAATTATTTTTGGCAAAGATTCAGTTATTTGTTTTAAATAGTTTTTATTCTAACGATCTGCGTTCCTCACAAAGACCAGCGACATCCTTATGTCTTCTTAGTTGCACTTGGTATAAGGAATTGTAATTGATTAATGTAAAAGTTATTCGCAATATCATTTTTATTTCAGCACCTTGATCGGGTGACGAAAGCGTTGGTATTGGAACCTCTGTTCAGGATGGACGGCCTCGATCTAATGTTGGGCAAGTCTAAAGACAATAAAGTGTTCTCATTTTATAAATGTAAGGGCGATGCCTTATTTTTCTTATTACTCAATTTAATTCTCCTGATGACAAGCAATCAGCGCTGTCTGTGGACACCCGAAACACCAGAAAAGTTACAAGTGCGTTGCCGGCCTTTTTGGAAATTAGGAATTTAAGGGTTGGGGTCGGAGATTCGAGATTCAGGCATGTTTAATTGTAAACAAAAGGAAGGAAGGAAGGTTAACAAAAGGACTGACTGAAACCCTATATATCGCTATTTCATATGAAATATCAATAACGATTCATAAACTAAACTAATTAAAATTAAAACCATTTTATTTTGTTAAAAATGTGGCCAAACAACCTCATCACTTTTAATGAATTATTGTTGTGTGCGTTTTAGATCCAGAAGATGTAACATTTGATGAGTTAAAAGCGTTAGAAATCGTAGCAGATAGACTCCGTGTAGCTCGAGATGCGGTGGTGAGGTCGAAGTCCCCGGGCTCTAGCGGGGCGCAGTCCGACCTCTTATGTACGATCTGCTACGCAAGGCCCGCAGACACAGCCTTTGTGCCATGTGGACATCATTCTTGCAGGTATATTGAAGCTCTTTATAACTGACTTCAAAAAATACGTATTTCTCACTTTGGCCTGTATGTATGTAAGCCCACGATTGTCTCGCGTTTGAACGAATCGACTTTATGCAGTCTTCTAAAAAGCTTTGTTACCCTTAGGACCAGGAGGCTTACTCTTGAATCCAATTCCGATCGATCGACATTCGTATTGTGAAATTTCGTACTCTTGGGCTGCAACACTAATGCCATTGCATCCGTATTGCGTGGATATTGAATGAACTGAACGGTATTGAATTTGGCTTTATATTCCGTACTCTGAATGCTATTTTAACACCTACGATTGTGGTTGTATAGTTTTCACATTGATCGATTTTATTGGATTGAAATTGTATTGACATTGAGATTGATTTTAAGAATAAACCCCCTGGTTTTAGTCTAATAATAGAATTTATTATTAACCGATTTCATAAAAAAAATAACGTATTTTTTGAAGTATTGCAAAATTTTAAATACTTTTTTGTTAGAAAAAATGCTAGCTGTACCGATTTTTTCTTTTCAGAGCTTGTATAATGCAGCACCTATTAAACAGTAAGCAGTGCTTCTTCTGCAAGGCAGATATTGAAACTGTCCGCGAAATAGAACCCGCGAACAATTGACGCCATCTTGTCACGGATTCAGCAATGGCGAAGGAACTTCGGAAAATTAAATCTAAAGAAATCTTAGCCATCCAACATTGTTTTTATAAAATAAAGTATGGAGATAATTATCATTGTGATAATGTATTTAGTGACGATATGTTTTTGGTTTATTTTTTATTAAATTATGTTTTTATTCTTAGTAAAATATTATTTTATTTCAAAACGAATACGTTTAATTATGAAAAATAGGAAACTAATGGCCGTTTCGACCAAACTCTTCCAAACTGTCACTTAACTAAAAGTAACTTAACGTGACGTAGCACCTAAACTAAGCCCTTATTTGTACTGCTAGATGCCCCTTATAGGTTGGTGAAAATAAAAATGGCGACAAATTTCACGTCCTATCATAACTTAGAGGTTATTTTAATAATAGTAAATGACAAAAAATAACTGACATGAATAACAATGTATAAAATAATAAAAAAAACTATTGAATCTTCAGTATTTTGAGACATTTTATTAAGTACGAGTTATTTACAGTGTTTATGGTCCTTTGTTAAGTCCTTGTGGGGAGTAAGCGTAGTATGCCATTGGACACTCGCAGGTTCCACGGAGTCCTGGGTGGCCGCGGGGACCAATTGGACCTAAAGAAACGTCAAACATTTCCGGTTTTAAAATGCCTTTTTCTATTTAAATCAGATTGACTAGTTACAAATACTAGTTACTCTGCGATTTTTATAATAAAACCGGTTACTAAATTATTAGAAGATCTTCGTACCACTTTTATATATGTGCATGAATTTTCCCTTACCTTCTCGTCCTGGGTCACCTCTATCTCCGGTTCTGCCTGGGTAACCTGGTGGACCAACTGGACCTGAAGACAATATATTATAAGTTAGAACTTTGACTGCTAATAGAAAAGGTGTTTTAAGGCAAATTCTTCGCTAAGTCAGGCACCGGTTACCACCATGGCGACCAATATTGTATTTTGAACATTTCATAGGAAACAACAAATTCTTGGACACGGCATTTCCAAACTCATTTTGTCGGAAAAGAATTCGTATGAAAACCGAAACCGTACAGTCGTCTGCTAGTTTTGAGATGCCATTATTACATCAGAATACTTATAATGAAAATAAGACTAATAGGGTAGATGACTCATTTTTATTTTAATGTCCGTCTGGTAAATTATTTAAAAACATTAGACACGTATTTTTAATTTTTTTACGGAAACGAATAGTTTCGAAGATATATTGATTTAAAATGTCGCGTGACGTCACTTCTATATACATTTTACACGTAGAAATGACGTTTTAGCCCCTAAACTTTGATTCATCATTCAGGGTTGATCATTTTATTATACAACAAAATAAATAAAATACGTGTCTAATATTTTTCATTACCAACTGACGGACTAATTACATTTTAAATTTTCATACCCTGTCATCATCCATAAACTTTTTTATAATGTATAATTAATAATGCAAAATAAATTTTTGTTTGAGATTGCTAGTATGTATTACCAAAGCGTTACACGTTACCAATTTGTCCTCGTGGTCCTTCTGGTCCCTGAACGCCGATGCCTTCTGGCCCCCTCTCGCCTTTGTCACCTTTCTGTCCAGATGGGCCCATGCTGCCAGGTTTACCCGGGTCCCCAGTTTCACCAGTGTAACCCCGGGGACCTGGATCTCCTGAGAGGCCTGGTATTCCTATATGGTCAAACTCAAAATCAAAATCTTTTATTTCAATTAATTAAACCAGAAAGGCACTTTGGAACGAGATATAATTTAAAATGAATTTTAATGTAAAATAGGGCAATAAGTTGGTGAAAATATGTACAAATGTACAATGTAAAATGTGTGTGTGATTATATGTATTTACACATATGAGTGCGCTATCTCCATCTGTGGTGACTGATTGACATCTTTCACAATTCATTATTATGAGCCCTGGCGTGTTTTGAAACTAGTCGAGCTTTTTCGGAAAATTAACGTGAGTCAGCAATATATATTTAATTATATTTGTAGCATAATTATGTAAAGGATAGGTAGCATCTCAAGATGTTATTGTACACCAATTATTTAGGTTCACTTTAATTTTTTACATAAGACAACATAACATCACGCCTTTTATCCCCGAAGGAGTAGGCAGAGGTGTACATTATGCCACTGTACAATGTAACACCCACTTTTCACTATTTATGTTATGAGCCCCATGTAATAGGGGGTAAGCCTATTGCCATATACCGAGCACAATTCCAGACTCCGTGTTACTACTGTGATTTTTTGAAAAACCCAATAATACTTTGTCCGACCCGGGAATAGAACCCGAGACCCCTTGCCGGGCAGTCGCACTTGCGACCACTCGGCCAATGAGGCAGTTTAATTTTTAAATATTAATTAATTAGTAGTATCTTACCTGGTGGCCCCGGTGGACCCGGCCGGCCTGGATGGCCCCTCTTGCCTAATACCGTCGGAGGCAACAATATTTGATTCGAAGCAAATTCATTGAGGCGCACTGTTAAAAAGAAAAATGTAAATACAGATAATTTTGATGTAAGGCTCCAAACAAAATGTCTCAAACTTCAAACCCAGGTAGAAAACTGGTTTACGGAGCCGCGGAAGACTTAACGGGTTGCCGGGGCTCCGGCTCGAAGTGCAGGAGTAGGAACGGGGTGGTTTTTAGTCAGTAAGAGTCTGACACTCCCTCCCGCCTCACCCGGGCGGGAGAAGTCATTGGATGATTTTCCCCCCTCAAAAAAAAAAAAACTACTACCCCCTTCCTACTCCTGTCCTTCGAGCCCGAGCCCCGGCAACCCGTTAGGTCCTCCGCGGCTTCGTATCTGCATCAGCCCTGTTGATCCATCCGTGGTGATCTGATGACTCTTTGAGGCGCGGAACGCAACACGCCGTACGCTCGGTTATGATCGGAGAGCTACCCATGCTCGCCTGGTTGTGAGCCATACAGCTTATTTTTACTAAGGACTTTTATCTAAACGGATCACGGATATTATTTACTTACCTTTTACAATATCTTCACAAATATTTCTTACTTCAGCTTCAGACATTGAAGGAGTCTGAAATATTAGGAAAAACAATTACAGTATTTTACAAATAACAGAATAAATAGGTATGACTTTCTCTCACTTTTCTATGATTATTTTACACCTAGTTATTTTACCAGTAGTATTTTTACCATTACCTCTCTTACGAAGGTGGGTGGCGCTGATACGCCAGGCGGGCCAGGAAGTCCTCTCTGTCCAGGGACCCCATCCAGTCCTGCTGGACCAGGCAACCCTGGGAAACCTTGCTCACCTCTCTAGAACAATATTTAGAATAAGAAATGTTTCTTACAAAATGTTTTTATTATGCTATGCTTATAATTAGATAAGCTTACCTCCCCTTTGGGCCCTATGGGGCCCGGAGGTCCAGGTATGGGTATTATAGGCGTTGAATCAGTGGACCCCGGCCGACCGGGAGGTCCAGGGGGACCCGGTGCACCCTGTGGACCTGCTGGCCCCTGAAAATAAATGTGAATATTTTAAGAAAATAATTGGACATAAAATTGTATTTTTCTGAAATATCGAAACATGTATTGCGATTAAAAATGTAACGTTGCCACGTTCCGATATTTTTTGTCGTTCACAGTTACATCCATCTACCAACATTAATTCTCATACACATCTGGATCATACAAAGAGTTGTTCCATGTTGGAACTGAACCCGCGATTCGTTGCATGGCAGCCAGCAGCAGGTTGCCTAACCGCTGTGCCAAAAAACTTATGTCAATGAATAAACAATAATAATTACCGGTTGTCCATCAAGCCCTGATTTCCCCGATGGACCCGGTAGACCGGGTGGGCCCATGTTGCCGGGCATACCAATAGCACCAGGGAATCCTTGCGGTCCAGGGGGGCCCTGGAAAAAATAACATTGAAATTATTAATAATTGAAGATGAAGATTCTTTCTTAAACCGAATTATCTCCTCAACGTGTTGCTTTGTCATCTATAACATCTAAATAGGTTTAATGTACTACCAATATTTATTTATTTAATTATTGGTAAACCAACAGCTAAAGGAAGCTAAGGGAAGGAAAAAAATTAGTGACAAAATAACATCTGAAGGCCAATGAATAATAATTAATTATCCATGTAAATTTTTGGTAGATACTATTAATCGGAATGTATCGTAGAGGAAATCGTTCAAAACAAGATACCTACATTTAAATCATACCACTTTTACCTACATTATGGTAGGCATAGTGGAAAAAATTAATAAGACATATATTATAAAAAAAACTTAACTTATTTCATTTTTCGAAATCACTGCAAAATTACTTAGTTGAACAATATTAATTAAGGTGTCAATTATCTTTTTTCTACTTAATAATTGTAATAAATATTATTATATTTTACTATAGTCCCGTCGTGTCCCGGTGGTCCAGGTGGGCCTGTGAATCCATCTCTGCCATCGCGACCTGGAGCGCCTTTCTCGCCTTTTGCACCTGAAGCAAAAATATTTTTATTTGATTTTTTGGTCCAATCGCTTACTCGGTCACCTAAAATAAAGATCTTCAATTGATTTTATAGATAAGATTAGGATAGCATTTTTTATGGGGTAAAATCATCGAATGACTTCTCCCGCCTGGGTGAGGTGGGAGGGAGTGTCAGACTCTTATTGACTAAAAACCACCCCGTTCCTTCTCCTGCACGTCGAGCCGGAGCCCCGGTTACCCGTTAGGTTTTCCGCGACATATATGTATCAATATTATACATATAAGACTACCGGGTCGGCCCGGTGGCCCCGGTTCGCCCCTGTCTCCTTTTAACCCAGACAGACCTGGTACCCCGGGTTCACCTTTAACACCGCGTATGCCCTAGAAGAAAAAACTTTGCCCCACACTAGGATTTTCTCCTGTGTCGTGGGTGCGTTTACAAATATACAAGTTCACATACACATGACACCCAGACCCGAAACAACAATTTGTGGATCACACAAAGAAATACTCCGTACGGGACTCGAAACAACCGTGCCGTCAAAAACAAAAAATCAACAACGAAAATTAATCAGGGACCAAAAGTATCACCG